TCACCCAGTCTGCAGGATGACGGCAACCATCCACTTCCATCCACACCACCATTATTTGGGCCAGTAACTATGTTATAAAATATATGGGGGTTGATGAAATAGTTCTCGTTCATATATTATGATATATAGTATGCATGTATATAGATATATATATATATACATATAGTATGTATATATATATACATATAGTATGTATATATAGTATGTGTATATATATATACATATTATGTATATAACTTTCTCACTATCCCCTTTTTTTGCCATCGAAAAATCGGGCTAAAAAAAGTCTCGGCCTTCAGGAAATTGCAGGCCCTGGCGGTCTTTGGCCTCACCAAACACCGCTGCCCGCAAAGGTTTTTGTGGCTGACGAATGGCAGATTCACCGTTTTTTTTTTAGCAGGTGGAACCATTAGTTATATAATCAATGGAATGATAATTACATCAGTTAGATGATAATGAGAAATGATAATGGAACAGTTATATAATTACCATTAGTTACAATTATTGTGGACTAGATGGTAATGAGAAATGACGGGAGCACAATAATTACAAGAATGGCAAATCATCCGCAAAACATTGGACAAAATAAGGTGGCTCCAGTCAAGAGACCTGGGGAGAAACACCATCAGTACGCCTGAAAATCATTCTGAGAGTTGATTCGACTTCTTCGCCATTTCGGTGGTAGGAAGTTTCCGGTCAGTAACCAGAAATCGGGGCTTTAGTGACCTTAAAAGCCTTAAACCAGGCCTGGCCATTTTCTACACATCTGGATGAAAATCACGTCGACAAATTTTGCAAAATGTCACCATTTCCATCCAGCTTAGGATTCCCAGAGGCTAAGCGTCCGAAGCTTTGTTAAGAGCCCCGTTCCCTTTTCCGTGCTTATTGGTTTAGTTAGTAATCTCCATTCACAAACTGTGCGTTGATTGGTTACAGTATATCAGTTGGTCAACTTCATGTATACCCCCCACACGAAACACTGATTTAGTATAGGATCAATTCATGAATTGAGAGCCCACAAAAAAAAGTGCCATATTATGTGGAAGTGTGTCAAAACCTTGTACCCCTGGTGAACATCAAAATAGCTGGTAAATGGATGTTCATCCCATTAAAATTGATACTAATAGGTTTTGACCCATACCCATGTATAAAGAAAGGCTAAAAAAAGGGGCACCCATAATTCTATCATTGATCATCGTTTTATCGACAAGCCGATAAACTACTCGGCGAAGGGAAGGGATTGACCGTCATTCAATGTCCACTGGGAAAATGCCCATCAAATACCTATGAAAAATAGGTAAAACCTTTTTATATTATACAGTATATAGTATGGTGGCATATATATATATATATTATACATATTATATATACATATTATACGTAATTACACATTATATATAATTACATATTATATGAATTTTATATATATTATACATATTATATATACCTATTGTGTATATATATATATATAATTACATATTGTATATATATAATATTCACAATATTCATAATATTTATCATATTCCCATTTCGATTCCCGTTTACCATGTTAAACCCCCATGTTTGCTGCATATAGCCTCCATTTCCACGGTCCATCCCTTTACCAATGAATCACCAAGCCACTTCAAGGCCTGCCTTCTGCAGTTGGTCCAAGTGGTACTGGCCACAGAGACTCACACTGTTTTCAAGCACCAAAAACAAGGTGGATCCCCTAGATAGCTGAGTTGGCTTACAACTAGGTTAAGTATATATATATATGTATATGTAAATATTATATACATATATATGTACACGTATACATACATGGTTAATGGTAAATATATGCGTATATATATATACATATATGTTTGAATCACCAAAAATAGGATTGATCCCTTAGCACGACCAAAACGCAGAACGCAAAACGCACGTTCTGGAACGCGTGTTCCGAACGCAGGGGGTTTTTAGTGGTTTTATGGATCCCAGAAGCCTCCCAATCCTTTTTTTGCTCCTTGCAAAAAGGACCCGCTGTGTCACATAGAATTTTTCAACAATGTTTCAAAGTATTCTTAGACCTCTGCTATTAGCACTACGATAAAATTTGTGAGAGGTCAGAATCTTTTCCTTTCAGAGAAAAAAAGGATCCGGGAAGGAAAGCTAACTTGCCCCACAAGCCTGGTGAGGCCAGAACCTTTTTGGCTTCACCCAAAAAAGGATCCGGAGTTGGGAAGATCAACTTTCTGGTGGCTTCATACACCATTTTGAGCCCATAAGAGCTCTCAAATTCCTTTTTTATTTGGGGGGAAAAAGGTTTCAGTGTCCAAGCCCAGGAAATAAGTTAACTTTATATCATTAGAAAAAAAGGATTCACTCAGAACGCGCGTTCTGGAACGCGAGTTTTTAAAACGCGCGTTCCCAACGCCCAACCGTACCGAACGAACATGCTAAGATTGATCCCACCAATCATTGTTGATCTATTCGACGAAACATTGGAAAACCCCTGCTTATGTGACTTTAAAAAATGATTTTAAGCACCAAAGATTGCCACTTTAAGGAAACACTGATGGGAATGGGCATGATCATACCCAGTTGGTCTGGGTATACCTGCACCTACCATATTGGGATGGGAATGAGCATTCCATATCCAGCTCAAGAATGTGTCCCATTTTCTTGACGTAAAATACGAGCAGTTCGGGGTCATATTTTTTTTACGGGTTCCTCTTCTCATTGGCTCAGAGGATTCAGTTGCATCCCTGTGCTGACTTTGGATGAACCATGTCCTTTTCTGGTGTTGAAACAAGACTCTTCCCAACTTTTTGGTGAACCAACAATTTGTTCATTAAATCCCCAATTTTTATTGGTTCTAACCGAATTTCTTGGTTGTGTCCCTCTAAACCCACAGCCTAAATATCCTAAATCCGCCAAGACCAGCCTCAGGGGCACCACTGAACCTTTCCAACATGACATGGAGAGGAGGACGAAGATCTTGCTCATGATGATGATGATGATGATGATCATCATCATCATCATCACTGATATTACTGATATTACTGAGTTAGCACTGTTAGTAATTAACTATTAGCATCAAAATAATGATTGTTTAAAATCAATTTATAGATGATGGTAATCAGCAACATGAAGGCAATAGTTACGATCATGATTGTCATCAACATGATTGTTCTTGCAATCATCGTCATGACGGTTGCGATGACCATGACCATCGCGATGGCGATGACAATGGCGATAGGGGTGATGGTGATGATGATGATGATGATGATGATGATGTTGATGATGCTGATGCTGATGATGATGATGATGATGATGGTGAAGATGACGATGATGGTAATGACGATGACAATGAAGGCGAGGATGAAGAAGATGATGATGAGGATGAGGATGACGATGATGATGACGATGAGGATTACGATGACGATGACGATGACGATGATGATGATGGTGATGATGATGAGGAGGAGGAGGAGGATGAGGATGATGATGATGTTGTTGATGATGATGATGACGATGATGTTCATATGTTCATAATAAAGGCGGTGATGATGACGATGACGATGACGATGACGCTGATGATCATGATCATGATCATGATGCTGTTGATGATAATGATAATGACGATGATGATGATGATGATGATGATGATGATCATGATGATGATGATGATGATGATGATGACGATGACGATGACGATGACGACGATTACGATGACGTCCAAGCTAATCTTCTAAATAGCTTCGTCTTCTCACAAAATACCTGACACTGGCAAGGCAAGTTGCGAGGAAGAGATCTCACGGTAGTTTCCGATGCCTTGGATTTGCGCTCGGGCTCGACAACAATCAAAATACCAAGGATTTCCCACTTGATGCTTACCCCAATAAACCCTTTGACCCTCAAAACTGCCGATTTTCGGTAACTTCGGTAACTTCCAAACCCCTGCAGGGCTTCATGTTTCCCATGACAGAAATCGCCAAGATGCTGCCTGCACGGCTTGCACCCTGCATTGCGCTCCGTGACCGCACTCCGCTGGGAGTGATTACGGGCACTGAGCCAGGCTGCGTCGGGAAAGCTGTTATATAAAACTGATCGAAAAAAATCGGCGCAGAGAGCCAAGTAAGAATGGTCCCAGCAGCTTTTTGATATGACCAACAAAGCTTAGGGACATGACCAATCTCAGCCAGATTTTTTAATCGGCAAACTTGATGTTTCTTCAGCATGGAGACGTCTCAAAACTTTATTCCCCCTTCAAATCCAGGTCTTCGCCGCAATTTCCCCCTTGAAACAACCCGTTTGTGTAGCGTTTTTGGTGGCAACCTCCAGTTTTCTTGATATCTTAGCGTATCAATCTTACATTTATCTGGGTAAATGGACTCATATTTCACTAACCTGAAATGTTGGGCTATTTGGGGATGATTCCCCCAAAATAAATCATGATTCCATTGAGGGAGAACAGTGAGGTCGTGATCAAATTTACCCAGATTTATCAAAATGATGTTTGCAAAATCATTAAACTTGTTCAATAGTGGCAATATCATGCCGTTAGAATCAATTGAAACTGCCATATCAAAATATGCTAAAATCATGAAAATGGCCTTATCCTGCCGCCATCAACTGGTTAATATCAGTTGATATGTTCATATTCATATGCCATACCCTCCGGTAAACAAACATAGCTATTGAAAATGGCCATAGAAATAGTGGAATTACCCATTAAAACTGGTGAGTGAAATCTACTGAAGTTGCCGCGGTTCAAATCCATGATTTATACCCTGCGGGCTGGAAAATCCCGTTAAAAAGTCATGATGTTCCCATCAAACCTTCCACGAATCGTTTGGGGATTTCCCATCAAACCAATGGTTTGATTACCAAAGGGTATATCCCATCATCATTCCATGAAAAACTTCCATAAACTATAGATATATCTCACCATAATTAACCATGGTATATTCCCATTGCATTCCATTCATCTTCCTTGGATTCAACGTAGATTTTTTCTGCCTCCCTCGTGCCTCATCCGGATGAATGCTCTTGGCGAAGCCCACCAAGCCACGGTCATCGTCGTAGATGGAATAGTAACGCCTGGGGAAATAGTAGGCCCACAGAGGTCATTGCTTCTGTTGACTGGCCTCGTCACTTATGTTGGTTTATAAACCCATGAAGAAGTTCGATATGATTCGAATTGATTAGATATATCATGATATATCTACCATAAGTCCAAGTTTCATATCTATATTATAACCATAATTGATAAGTCCTAGTGAAAAAACAGAGTTGTGAACCAGTTGTTAGCTATCGAACGGGGGCACCGACCTAAAAAATAACCGTTCGGATAACCTTGGATAAACCCATCCACAAAGCCATCCACAAATGTTGGTGACGTGATAAACCTCTGGCACCCCCGGCCTGGGGGTATATATATATATATTGAATGATAGATAAGATTTCTGATAAATATTGACCACATACATTCAATTAGATGATTTAGATATGAAAGAACTAGTGGAAACATGATTGTACTTACTAGGTATGCAACGAGCATGAACCATATTTCCCAAACCTGACTTTCGGGTCGCGAAATTCATGGCAAACGTCAGGGTCGCATCCGGTGGCAAAATCATCTCTGGGAACCCATGCTTCAGGATATACGCCCAAAAAGACAACCAACCAACCAACCATCCAACCAGCCAGCCAACCAACCAACCAGCCAGCCAGCCAGCCAACCAACCAACCATTGGCCTATGAACGGGCCAAAACTTCTGACTTGCCTCGCTAGACATGTTGTTTGCCTGAAACCAAAGTTTCTTCAAATCCGAACCCCCACAGAAATTCCATTCCGTCATGTTTGATCAGCGGCTGAGTCAAAATGGAAGGTTAAGACATTGGTTTAAGATATTGGTTTCACCATACCATTGGCATCACCAGTTGGATTGGGTCTCTGGAACAGCTGCGTCTCCCAGTTCGAGCCTCAAGAAGGTGTCGCCGATGACCTAAGTGATCAGAGCCAGCACAGGTCGGCAAAAATCAACCTCCAGGGCGACCTCCGCAATACGAAAGTCTTCCACAACTTTTCAAAATTTCGACACCTCTGCAACTGCCCAAAACTCAGGTCAAAAAGTGGCCCAGGCCATGTAAAACCATAGAAAACCCTCATCAAAGGCGCCCCAAAACTTTGCCCAGCGGCCCATTTCCTTCCTGGCACATCCATCACCTCAGTCCAGGGAGAGGGGTTCCAGCTCTGAAGGCTCCATGACTGATGGACCTCCGAAGTTTCGGCCTCAAGTTGACCACGATTCATGTTGAAATGTCTCGCCTTCCTTTTCCTAAAAGAATTGCGGTTTATCCACCGTGCTTTCTGGGTGAAATCCACCAAATTTCTGGTCGGTAATCAAGGTAATCCCATGAAAAACATTGAAAAACCACCATGTCGGTGTTTCCTAAGTCATAGGGCTACCCCTAGTTATCATCCATTTATAGATGCATTTTCCCTATAAAAACCATCCAGCCTTTGGGTATCTCCATTTATGGAAACCACCTAATATGTAATACGTTAATATCCCATAAAAACTACGACGATGGATTATCCATTAATATCACCATATCACCATCCCCATGAATCATCATCACTATTCATCACTATGAAAACCCACCTTTTTTTTTAGTAGGATCTTCCCTATAAAAACCCATCCATGTTGGGTATTTTCCCTGTAAAAACCCAGCATTTTTCCATGGTGAACCTAAACCAATCGCCAAGGCGCGCCCAGTCCCGGGTCGCAGCGCGGCCGGACCTCTGGCACCGTGTCCCCCGAGCCGCCCAGGACCGGGAATTCCTCGGCAGGCGTGGAATCCTGGAGGAAATTCATCGGAAAATTTGCATTACATGGGTATTATATATATATATCAGATATATATATATATATCAGATATATATATATATATCATATTATATGTGATTGTATATTAGATGCAATCATATTATATATGATTGTATATTAGATGCAATCATATTAGATATAATTGCATGGGTATATACAATGTGAGGCCCCCGTTCGATAGCGTTCAGTTGGTGCAAATAAGTCCAATAACTATGGTTTATGGCATTTATGACTATAGTTACTGGGGTTTATAAACCAACTTATAACTGGGGGGCCTCACATTGTGTGTATATATATATATCATATTATATATGATTATATATTAGATGCAATTGTATTAGATAAAATTATATCTAATTATATATATACATATATATATATACATAATTATAGAGAGAGAGATCACTGACATCTTTCCGATGCTCGGCCTTCAAGTATTCGGAGTTGCCGGTCTGTGGGACCTCGTCCAGACTCTTCAGGGTGTACTCCTCGTCCAGCGATAAAAAACCATGGGATTTGCGATGGTACCGGTAGTAAACCATAGATTTACCATATATATTTAATAAAGGGTACCTAGTATCATCCTATCTTTAGTATATGTTTAGTAGATTATGAGTTCCAAGAAGTGCCAAAACTCATTCTGATTACTGGTATACCTACAGGAATATACACATCTTGGGGTCTTACCAGGGTCTAAGCATGATCAGTCCTGCGGCGTGAGCGGATAGTCCGTCAGCACACCTGGAGAAGGGCGCACCGAGGCTGCAAAAAATGGACTTACATAGACGCATTGCAAACATTGCAATATGATATACACAAATTGATTTGGCGAGAAATTGGTTCACCACAAAAAAAATGCATGGTTTCATACTAAAGTTTCTGTAGAGTTCTCGCCCCGAAATTCAGAGCAGTCCCACGGGAGTTTTCTCCCGGACCGTCTTTGTCCGCGATGCGGATGCTGACGTTCGGAAGCTTGGCCTGGGCTTCACCAATGAAATCATGGCTGAAACCAGCCAGTGTTCTGGTTGATATGGGGTTCCTCATTATTGGAAGATAGCAATCCCCATGGACCTACGTAGAAGCCCATGTTTGGAGTGAAACAAGCGATTTCTTTGGGCTGCTCAGATATGCAAGTATCAGAAACATGACTGAGCCGCGTGTACGGTTTTTCAAGCTCCATTTTCGGTGCCAAGAAAGTTGTGGAGGAAAGGTGATTTGGGTTCGGGCTGTGTATGCATGCATTTGTGAATACATCTACAGTAAATTATGTGGAACCATGAAAAATTATGAAAAACAAGTACTTCCAAGAAAGGAAAAAATACCAAAAAACGGTCCTTTATCCTTGGCGACATGGTCACCCTTGTTGAACCTCAGGCAAATCGGCCATGGTAATCCTTCAATCTGGTCATACGCACCCGTTGGGTGCCCGTGCTAAGTTGCTGCAGTCGTCCTTCAAACGCACTTTGCTAAGCCTCGATGGGATGGCCATTTCAGACACGCCCACCATCCCAGTTTGCCAAAATCCCCTGACTCCAACTCCAGTTCATGAAAGCTTCTTGAAACCATTGGATAACATCACAGAAAAGCCCAAAATTCGAGAGTCAACAGAATGGGACATTTGTCTTCTGTCAATTTAATCCGGCAATGGAAAATCTACCGCATGTAACAAGAACTGCCTATCGAAAAGGCGGATATCTCATTGCCGAAACGAATTCCCCATCATTCACCGTGCCCCCAGCATAGACCCCGTATGACCCTGTCAGGGGGTTGGAAGACTCCCTGTTTTAAGGGTCTAGGTTGGGAAGGATGGTATCAAAGTATTCGGGACGCCGGATTCTGACCCAGGTTTTCATCCATCATATATTCAACATCCACAGAACAGCATCGCACTTCACCAACAACTGCCTTCATTTAAAGCTGTTACTAAATCATGATCCCAGTTTTGAAAATGAATGCCCCATGTTTAGATGGCTAACAACCCCTCATCTTTGGATACACCCACCAACATCAGAAAAATGTGAGGAAACCCCATTCCATCCATTGAATCATCATCATCATCATCATCATCATCATCATCATCATGTTTTCCATTGGGGGCTAGATCCCCATTTTTCTGACACCCCAAAATCTCATTTGCCAATCAACCTCTTCCGTTCTATTCCCAATCATGTGCATTTGGTGAAAAATAGATGCCATCAAAGATCCCTCATTTGGTGAAAAGGAATACTTCACCTGCCATATTTAGCCAATAAACCATCCCTACCACCATGTTCCCCCATAGTATTTTTTCCACCATGTGGAATATACCACCAGCAATAAACTGCCATTTTTTATGGATGGATTATGGATGGTTTATGGATGATCTATGGATGGTTTATGGATGGTTTATGGATGATCTATGGATGGTTTATGGATGGTTTATGGATGATCTATGGATGGTTTATGGATGGTTTATGGATGGTCTATGGATGGTTTATGGATGGCTTATGGATGGTTTATGGATGGTTTATGGATGGTTTATGGATGGTTTATGGATGGTTTATGGATGATCTATGTGGTTTATGGATGGTTTATGGATGATATGGATGATCTATGGATGGTTTATGGATGGTTTATGGATGGTTTATGGATGGCTTATGGATGGTTTATGGATGGTTTATGGATGGTTTATGGATGATCTATGGATGATCTATGGATGGTTCATGGATGGTTTATGGATGATCTATGGATGGTTTATGGATGGTTTGTGGATGATCTATGGATGGTTTATGGATGGTTTATGGATGATGGATGATCTATGGATGGTTTATGGATGGTTTATGGATGGTTTGGATGGATGGCTTATGGATGGTTTATGGATGGTTTATGGATGGTTTATGGATGGTTTATGGATGGTTTATGGATGGTTTATGGATGGTTTATGGATGATCTATGGATGATCTATGGATGGTTCATGGATGGTTTATGGATGGTTTTATACCACCATGTTCCCCCATTTTTCCCGAAAAATCCTCCCAGTAAGCGCAGCCCAAAGGGCAGCTTTTCCACCTCTCCGGAGGGTCCGGTGATCAGCGAGCTGCCCGTGTCCACCACCGCCGGGCAGACGCCGTCCGGCCGGTCGTCGCAGATCTGGGTGGTGTAAACCAGCGACAATTTATCGAAACGCCTTATATATCTGATATAGAAAATTGAGAAACTTATATACCAACTTATAAATATACCAACTTATACATACATACATACATACATACATACATACATACATACATCCATACATCCATCCATCCATCCATACATACATACATCCATACATCCATACATCCATACATCCATACATCCATACATCCATACATCCATACATCCATACATCCATACATCCATACATACATACATACATACATTACATTACATTGCATTGCATTGCATTGCATTGCATTACATTACATTACATTACATTACATACATACATACATTACATACATTACATACATTACATACATTACATTACATACATTACATTACATTACATTACATTACATTACATACATACATACAATACAACAATACAATACAATACATACAATACATACAATACATTACATTACATTACATTACATACATTACATTACATTACATTACATTAGATTACATTACATTACATTACATTACATTCCATTCATACATACATACATACATTACATTACATTACATTACATTACATTACATCACATTACATTACATTACATACATACATACATATATGTATGTATATATATATATACGTGTATATATATATATATACGTATGTATATATACCCCCTTTGTGGGAGATGTGCTGTTTTTTGAAGGAGTAATATGCAGTAGCGTTCCTTCTGGAAGGATTAAGGGAATATGATACGGATATTTGGACTTGAGCATAGGTGTAAACAAAGCCTTTTTCTTTAGATCTGGAAGTGGGCAGTTCCCGAAATGGGTAGACCTGCTTAGATTCGTTCCGCTGGTCAAAGCAAGACACTGTTGCCAAAAATGTGCCAAGTATAGCTGTACTATGTGGGTAAAACAATAATAAACCATCCCCCAAATCACCATAAATATATGGTATAAACAATTCCCAGTCATGGGTGGTTTATTGTTGTGTTCCCGTTCATCAGAACAGGAGGCGGACCGTCAGACCCGCAGTGACGGGCCAGTGATGCAGATGTGATTCAGATGTCACCAGGCTAGACCACTAGCAGTGCCTCCGAAAACTCCAGCTATCCAGCTGAGCAGCATGGAGCGGCTTGCCATCCACCAGGATATCTTTCATGGCCAGAGACCACTCCTACGCCGATGCGGGGCTTTGACTCGATTTTTGTCGTAGAATAGCTATTGAAAATGGCACATGTATAGTGGATTTACCCATTGAAAATGGTGATTTTCCATAGTTGTGTTAGTTTACCAGAGGGGGCTACCCCATTGTCAGGCCAACCCCTAGTGGTTGGAATTGGGACCCAAGTCACCAGTCACCTAAGTCTTCGGTAGCCAGTGGAACAGGAATTCGGCACCTACCATTGGACCATTGGCGCCGGGTGACCTGGTCGTTCTGGATCTTATGCCATGTCAACGGGCTCTTCCTCAGGGCCAAACTCCCGAATTTGGAAGTCCCGGAAGTGAGGATGTCACCCACAGAGTTATAGCTCCAAGGGGCCCATTTTCAGGGATTCACTTGGCCATACTTACATGTTCATCGAGGGCACGAAAAAAGGTGCCCGAACAAGAATGGATTTTTATCAGCAACACAAAAATGCAAAAAAAAAATGGGAAGATTACCATCAAGTGGATACGAGGTATGGGTCATTTCACCCCGATTTTCTGTTCCCATCTGAGAAATATTGCCTGTTGCCACAGTTTTTTTGATGGACATTATAGTGTGATAATCCTTTACCCGAATTCGGAGCTCATTATTCAAGGCTTCTGGGGCATAAAACCCCCATATTTTCCCACTTGGATCTAGCCGTGGCTTCCTGCGCTACAGACCTGCGCACCCCAAGCCCCATAGGCATTTTCTATCTGTGCAAGCGCTGGATCTTTATTATTGTTTAATTGTGTTTAATTGTGTGCTTTAACTATTTTATAAAGCTAATAACTTTGTGTCCCATGTGTATTTTTGTCAAATCAAACCCATTATCAAATTGTCCCATGTTTGTTGCTTTAACATGCTCTAACTCCCGTCTTTGCTGGAGAATTGATACAGATTCGTGCTTGAAATCCAATTTGTTCATGGGGAAAAAAAAAACGTTCTTGCTTTGAATATGGCAAAGAATCCCTATTTTTTCTGGCTGAAATCGCTAAAATCCTATGTTTTCTGAGTCAACCACCATCGGACTCACACCCAACGAGCGCTCGGAGACCGAGCGTCGGAGCAATATGTGCCCGCTCAATGCCTCCGAAGGAAATGCTGCCGCTGCGGTGCGTGTCCTATGCGAAATCAACGAGAAGTACACAGTGTGATAGTACTAATGATAAAGGTAATACTATTATAGTAATACTATTATAGTAAAACTACTATAGTAATACTATTTTAGTAATACTATTTTAGTAATACTTTTATAGTAATACTATTATAATAATACTATTATAGTAATACTATTATAGTAATACTATTATAGTAATACTATTAGAATAAGACTATTATAGTAATACTATTATAGTAATACTATTATAGTAATACTATTATAGCAATACTATTATAGTAATACTATTATAATAATACTATTATAGTAATACTATTATAGTAATACTACTATAGTAATACTATTATAGTAATACTATTATAGTAATACTATTATAGTGATACTATTATAGTAATACTATTATAGTAATACTATTATAGTAATACTATTATAGTAATACTATTTTAGTAATACTATTACAGTAATACTATTACAGTAAAACTATTATAGTAATGCTATTATAGTAATACTATTGTAGTAAAACTATTACAGTAAAACTATTACAGTAAAACTATTATAGTAATACTATTATAGTAATACTATTTTAGTAATACTATTTTAGTAATACTATTACAGTAATACTATTATAGTAATACTATTATAGTAATACTATTATAATAATACGATTATATAGAGTAATACTATTGTAGTAAAACTATTGTAGTAATACTATTACAGTAATACTATTATAGTAATACTATTGTAGTAATACTATTATAGTAAAACTATTATAGTAATACTATTCTAGTAATTTCAATACTATTATAGTAAAACTATTGTAGTAATACTATTATAGAAATGATTGTAGTAATGATAGCAATACTATCATAATACTATTATAGTACTATGTTTATGGTAATACCATTACAGAAATGATGACAATAGTACTCACAATGGTAATAATGTTGATAGTACTAGTATAAAATGGATAATATCATGTTACTATGAAAAATGGTACCACTGTTATTGATCATCATTAGAGGAAAAATGACGATAATGATAACACTAATGAGAATAATGACAGTAATCGAAACAATGATAATCATGATTAGAGCAATGATAATACTGAGGATGATGATAATAATGACTGCAAATTTAATGATAATAATGATTAAAATGATTATGAAGACTGCTGATAGTTACTATTGCGAAAATTACCGTGTTTATTATCAATATTGTGATGATGATGATGATGATGACGATGACGACGACGACCATCATTGACAGTAATAGTAATAACAATAATAATAAGAAGAACAGAAACTAATAATAGTCATGATGAAAAGTCATAACTAGTGGTGATAACGAAAAGTAAGAAGGCACGGCAATGCGAAAATGGTAACGAACAATAATAAATGGTGATCATCATCACCAACAAACGCATTTTGATTGGCTTGGCAGCGGAAGAGGTCACTCCTCGGAGAGGTAAACTCCAAAGACATTGCGATCCAGCGCGTGGCTGTTTTTCAACCTGACGGGAAGACGAAAAAAAATAGATAAGTCCACTCAAAAAACCTTAGTTAGCCTAGTTATAAAGCAACTTAACTAACTGTTAGCAGCTAACTCCTTCGGGGTGGAGTTCCAGTGAACTAAGTGGATAGATTTCACCATAGTTATAGGGGCCCCATATCCCAACTTAATGCTCTTTTTTAAGCATAGCTATATCAATTAATAACCCCTCCAAGTATGGCTTTTGAATGTCGACGTTAGGTACCCAGAGACTAGAAATGCAATGGTATGGGATGATTCATCCCCAAACATGGATCAAAAATCGGATGATTGATCAGTCTATGAGTTTCTTTCAATTCCAACATGAATGAGAGAGAGCGAAATGGGATGAGTCAATTTGACTTCAATCCTCACCACTAAGAATTCAGCCAAGAATTGCCACTTCAGCCATCCTTTGTACCCACTGCGCTTGCGCCACCCCATGCGCATCTGTGATATCCCTGGGCGTCCCTGACGCATGCACGACAGATCCTCCACTAGCAGAGGGCGCCAAACCCAGAATTCCATCGAAGGGCAGAATGCGAAAGGGGTAATCCGTCCTGGGTGGAAGCTGTGACCACCATTCTTCACCATTCTTCAACCCTTGTGGTTGGAATTTTTGAAGAGGCTGTGGTTGGAAAATGGATCATGAGATTTTCTATATGTCTCATTATCATTGATAGTTGCTAATCATTGATAATTCTCAGTATGTTTAGCAACTATCAATGATTTTCTGTATCTGGGGATCTCTGATACATCCTCAGCAAACCTTTTTAGCCTGGAGGCCATTTTCGACAGTATGACATCTGCAGGGAAAGTCGGCATTTAGATTTAAAAAACATGGATGACTACTGGCCAATCCAGTAGTAAACAAACAAATACAAACAATATTATTTTTTGCATTTCGTGTTGTCGTTATTTTGCAAATCTGAGAAAGATGGCGTTTAGCATTGGTTTCACCACATTGTGAGAGAGAGACCCAAGTTTCGGCGTTGCTACCTATCCGACAAGATACTGATTCGTCGACATGCCAAAGGGTTGGCTTTGAACCTGTGGGCTGAGCTCAACCAGCAACCATTGAGTGACCCACTGCTCCTTGTTGCTCTTGTGAGGTGGGGCCCCATTTCTGTTGGTTAAATACAACCCCAGAGAAACTCAAACAAGGGTTCACGGCCAGCTCCTCCAATGCCTCTGGAGTTGAGCCACTATTGAATATTATATCATACCCCTATGGACTTGTGGTATCTTGTAGTTTTACCTACATTAATATATCTGGTAAACTAACAGTTTGCTATGGAAAATCACCATTTTTAAGAGATAAATCAACGATTTCTATGGCCATTTCCACCAAAAAAAAACCTCCAAAATCCTACGCACCTTGAGGCGTTTTGCCTGAACTCCGTGACATCCGGGGTCGCTGTGACTGTCGCAGAAGGTCAAGGTGTCACGACCATCCGCATACTCCACCTGTAAAGAGAGCCAAGCGGCCAAAAAACGGTGGATGGTAACTCCGAATCACCAGCTGTGACGTATCTGTGAAACACTGTCTATTATTAATATATGGTTAATATATGGTTACTATATGGTTACTATATGGTTAATATATGGTTAATATATGGTTAATATATGGTTAATATATGGTTAATATATGGTTAAATATGGTTAATATATGGTTAATATATGGTTGATATATGGTTTATATATATTTACTACATGGTTAATAGGTTAATATATGGTTAATAGAGTGTGGAGTGTAAAGAGTAACGTGTAGAGTGTAAAATGTAGAGTGTGGAGCGTAGAGTGTGGAGTGTGGAGTGTCAAGCGTAGAGTGTGGAGAGTGGAGTGTGGAGCGGAAAGTGTAGAGTGCGGAGTGTGGAGTGTAAAGTGTAGTGTAGAGTGTGGAGTGTAAAGTGTGGAGTGTGAAGTGTGGAGTGAGGAGTGTGAAGTGTAAAGTGTGGAGTGTATAGTGTAAAGTGCAGAGTGTAAAGTGTAGAGTGTAAAGTGTAGAGTGTGGAGTGTGGAGTGTACAGTGTAGAGTGTGGAGTGTGGAGTGTGAAGTGTGGAGTGTAAAGTGTTGAGTGTGGAGTGTAAAGTGTAGAGTGCGGAGTGTGGAGTGTGAAGTGTGGAGTGTGGAGTGTAGAGTGTGGAGTGTAGAGTGTGGAGTATGGAGTGTAAAGTGTAGAGTGTAGAGTGTGAAGTGTGAAGTGTGAAGTGTGGAGTGTCAAGTGCAAATTTTAAAGTGTGGAGTGTGAAGTGTAAAGTGTAAAGTGTGGAGTGCGAAGTGTGGAGTGTGAAGTGTGGAGTGTGGAGTGTAAAGTGTGGAGTGTGGAGTGTGAAGTGTGGAGTGTAAAGTGTAAAGTGTTGAGTGTTGAGTGTGGAGTGTGGAGTGTAAAAAGTGCAGTATAAAGCGTGGAGTGTGGAGTGTAACGTGTAAAGTGTTAAGTGTGGAGTGTTAAAGTGTAAAGTGTAACGTGGGTAGTGTCGTGTGTGGAGCGTGGAGTGTAAAGTGTAGGGTCTGGAGGTTGGAGTGTGAAGCGTGGAGTGTAGAGTGTGGCGTGTGGAGTGTAGAGTGTGGAGTGTAAAGTGTAGAGTGTAGAGTGTAAAGTGTAGGGTGTAAAGTGTGGAATGTAAAGTGCGGAGTGTAGAGTGTAAAGTGTGGAGTGTAAAGTGTAGAGTGTGGAGTGTGGAGTGTAGAGTGTGGAGTGTAGAGTGTGGAGTGCGGAGTGTAAAGTGTGGAGTGTGGAGTGTGGAGTGTAAAGTTTGAAGTGTAAAGCGCGGAGTGAAAGAATGTAAAGTGTAGAATGTAAGGTGTAGAGTGTAAAGTGGAGAGTGTGGAGTGTACAGTGTAGAGTGTGGAGTGTGAAGTGTGGAGTGTAAAGTGTTGAGTGTTGAGTGTGGAGTGTAAAGTGTAGAGTGTGGAGTGTGGAGTGTGAAGAGTGGAGTTTGGAGTGTAGAGTGTGGGGTGTAGAGTGTGGAGTATGCAGTGTAAAGTGTAGAGTGTAAAGTGTATAGTGTAAAGTGTGGAGTGTGGATGGTGGAGTGTAACGTGTCGAGTGTGGAGTGTACAGTGTGGAGTGTGGAGTGTGAAGTGTGGAGTGTAAAGTGTAGAGCATGGAGTGTGGAGTGTGGAGTGTGAAGTAAGGAGTGTGGAGTGTGAAGTGTGGAGTGTGGACTGTAAAGTGTGGAGTGTGGAGTGTACAGTGTGGAGTGTGGAGTGTGAAGTGTGGAGTGTAGAGTGTAAAGTGTTGAGTGTGGAGTGTAGAGTGTAGAGTGTGGAGTGTGAAGTGCGGAGTGTGGAGTGTAGAGTGTGGAGTGTAGAGTGTGGAGTGTGAAGTGCAAAGGGTGGAGTGTGGAGTGCGAAGTGTGGAGTGTAAAGTGTAAAGTGTAAAGTGTAAAGTGCTGAGTGTGGAGTGTAAAGTGTAGTGTGTGGAGTGTGGAGCGTGAAGTGTGGAGTGTAAATTGTAGAGTGTAAAGTGTAGAGTGTGAAGTGTAAAGTGTGGAGTGTGGAGTGTGGTGTGTAGAGCACGCAATGCGACACGTCTGAAGTGCTGCGCCTTTGACGCAAAATGACGACAGAGGTCTCCAAAGTGTTGCGCTTGCCACGAAAACTGCAACTCATCTTGCGAAAACGACGCCAAAGTATTGGGCCTGCCACACAAAACGACTTTCGACACGTTATCAAACAGGTTGGAAGGCCACAAAGTGCCGCGCCTGCCACGCAAAACGACATGACAACCTGCTTGAAAACCTTCGAAAAGGAGGTTTTGTAACTTCCCCTATAGACACGGCGAGGCCACAGGAAAACCAGAGACGCGTGGGCGCAGCAAAACGAGCATTTCGCGTGAGACTTCCGCTAATTTTGACACTCTGTAGCTTCAAAATCGACGTTTTCCTACAAGTTTTCTTAGGAACCTCTAAATTTGCTACCTCAAAAACGATGTTTCGTGCGAGGCATCCGTCACAATTTTCAGCACATCTCACAAAATGCCACGCCTGCCACGGAATCTACACCTTGTCGCCACTCGATGCAGCCCTACCAATGCGATTCGCATAAAACACGCAACACGACATGTCTAAAGTGCTGCGCCTGCCACGAAAAATGACAATGAGCACGTCCAAAGTGCTGCGCATGCCACGAAAACTGCAACGCATCTTCTGAAAACGTCGTAAAAGTATTGCGCCTGCCACACAAAACGACTTTCGACACGTTACAAAACACGTCTGAATGTCACGAAGTGCCACGCATGCCACGCGAAACGAAGCAACGCATAGCAACGCGACGTTTGAAACCTCCAAAAACGACCCCTTCTGCAGAACCTACCATAGGCACGGCCATATAGCAATCACGCGGACGGTTGCGAACGGTTGCGAATGGTTGCGGACGGTTGCGAACGGTTGCGGACGGTTGCGGACGGTTCGGCAACGTCGAGCAAACACACCCTCAACCCCCAGACCCCCAGAGTGAAACGGGAACCCTTGCTACGCATTCGGGAAAAAATGTTCCAAACCACCAACCAGCTGTATATAATGGGATTTGTTCATGATTACCACCTATAATGGGATTTTTTGCATGGTTCCCATAGTTTACCAACTTTTAACCATGGAGATATTCACCATCTACCAAGTGGTGGATTTCTTCCACCGCATCAACTTTGAAAAAGGGCTGCAGTTAGTTCAGTTTGATTCGAAGGATTGAAAATCTGGCTCTGCAAAAATGCAAAAACCTCATTCAAAATCAGACTTTAGGGATCCTGGCTGGGTGGCTTTTCGCCCCAAACCATCGTTCGTTTGGTCAGCTGATCACATTTTGAGCATCCTGGCTCCACACCTGTCCCGTGCCGTAGTGGATGGTGCCGTCGGCCCGTTGAGGTTCCAACTCCTGAGGTTTTCATGGTGCACTTGGTGTTGCTGGAGGCGGAAACATGCGATAATATGGTGCTCGATTCTGAACCCATACCAGGCTTGGAAAAAACCAACCAACCAGTGTGGGAGGCTAAGGAAGTCAGGCGAAGTCAGGCCTCAGAATAAGGATGATCATAACCATCCGAAGTTGTAAAGCCAACCAGCCAGCCACCAATGGCACCGGCACCGGCGGCACCTCAAAACTCTTGGAGCCATCCACAGAGAATTGATGGTGTTCTGAGCAGGTGTCGCCTTGGCGGCCGATCAAAATGAAAGTATTGAGACCCAAACTCCAGGTGATCCAAATATCGACCAACTGATGAAGTTTGACCACTTCTACACCGGCATAGCTTGGGACAAAAAAAAGATAAAAAAGAGGTCTGCGCCTTACAGAGAGGCCACTGCACTTTACCTTCGGAACAAGTCAGCAATTGGTTAGAAGGCTCCGGGCACGATCTTCACGGTGCGGTTGGATGTCCCCCGAGAAAACGTTCCATCTTAGCATCAGAGTCCTTCAAAACACGTCAAAGCACCTAGTGCTCTGCGTCCCAAAACTCAAACTTTTGCAGAATATCTGGGAGGGGCAACGATGAATTGGTCACATTTTGGATGGCTCCAACCTTCAAGTCAAGTGATCTGAAGCTCCAGTTCTCAATCTGGATTCTTCCCGTGGCTCCAAGTTTGATGTTTCGAACAGAAACCAACCATAAAGCAAAGTTTTGCAAGGTTGTTCTCAACCCCCAAATGGGGAAGTGGGCTGGAGAACAACATGCAAACATATGGTAAACCCAAGAATTCGTTCCCTGTGGCTCCCAATCTATCTAAGCTTGGACCCTGTTCAACCATCATTTAGGCAGGGTTTTCCTCCAAGTTAAACAAAATCCCATGGCTTCTCATCATTTTACCCGTCTTTCAAGGACCACAATTTGGGAGTGCATCCCGATTTTCTGGACAAACAAATATCAAATTAGCTGACGAATGGATGTTGATCCTGCGAAATATGAGAAAAAATCAAGGTTCTGACTCGTCCCCCACTTATCAACTACCCTCTTGTAAACTAACAGTTTGCTATGGAAAATCACCATCTTTAAGTTCGGTAAATCAACTTGTATGGTCCATGTTCAATAGCAAACTGTAACAAATGACCAGAGGGTATAAATCATCCCTTAGGCTGTTTAATTGGGGGGGTACCATTTAAGTACTATTGGAGGAGTACCCCCCTAATTCATAAACCATGGTAGATCTTACTCCGGGGTTGACATGATCAACTCATCGCCGCTAAGCGAACTTCACTCATCCCATATAGCGAACGAAGCATCGGACCTTTTGGGCACCCCACGTAGGTGATTTATCTCCCCATGAAATCCCCCGCTTTTAATCCCATGAAAAATAACCGTTGAATCACCATATCAATCCCATTAAATCCAATATAAATCCCATATAAATCCCCTTCAATCCCTTAAACAAAAACCATTCTGCCCATGAAATCACCATGTTTCCACCGTGTTTTTTCACCAACAAACCGCAGGCAGCTGAGTTGCTTTTACATTGGCTTCCGGGGACCCAAGTGATGCCACTGCCGGTGTCGAAGACGGCAGTGAAGCGCTGTGGAGGATTCCCTAACCTCACAGTTGGCGATGGAAAAATCATCGAAATGCTTGGGGTTAATTGTTCATTTAACTGAACCAATGAACTAATGCTGGTATGTGAATTTAACTCATCAATTAGTGGTCCCATCAGCCAGGAGCTCCCTCTACAGGATGGGACCCCCAAGATAGCGTTCAGTTGAGATATAAGTGGTTGAATTTTATGGTTTATGGATGGGGTTTATAAACCAACAAACATAACTGGGAAGCACCATCAGGCAAAAAAAACATGGATTTACCCGTCAAAATCCAGTCTGTTTAGAACCAAGTGGTTGTCCAAATTGTCCAATCCCTTTGGCACTGTCCATGTTACACTTTAGGGAATTGCAAATATCTATATCTATCTCTATGTATATATATATATATATGTGTGTGTGTGTATGTGTGTGTCTGTGTGTCTGTGTGTATGTGTGTATGTGTGTATGTGTGTATGTGTGTATGTGTGTATGTGTGTATGTGTGTATGTATGTATGTATGTATGTATCTATCTATCTATCTATCTATGTATCTATGTATCTATGTATCTATGTATCTATGTATCTATGTATCTATGTATCTATGTATCTATGTATGTATGGTATGGTATGGTATGGTATGGTATGGTATGGTATGGTATGGTATGGATGTATGGATGTATGTATGTCTGTATGTCTGTATGTCTGTATGTCTGTATGTCTGTAGGTCTGTAGGTCTGTATGTCTGTATGTCTGTATGTCTGTATGTCTGTATGTATGTCTGTCTGTATGTCTGTCTGTCTGTATGTCTGTATGTATGTATGTATGCATGCATGCATCTATGCATCTATGCATCTATGCATCTATGCATCTATGCATCTATGCATCTATGCATCTATGTATCTATGTATCTATGTATCTATGTATCTATGTATCTATGTATCTATGTATCTATGTATCTATGTATCTATGTATGCATCTATGTATGCATCTATGTATCTATGTATCTGTATCTATGTATCTATGTATCTATGTATCTATGTATCTTTGTATCTTTGTATGTATGTATGTATGTATGTATGTATGTATGTATGTATGTATGTATGTATGTATGTATGTATGTATGTATGTATGTATGTATGTATGTATGTATGTATGTATGTATGTATGTAATGTATGTATGTAATGTAGGTATGTAATGTAGGTATGTATGTATGTAATGTAATGTAATGTAATGTAATGTAATGTAATGTAATGTAATGTATGTATGTATGTATGTGTGTAATGTAATGTAATGTAATGTAATGTAATGTAATGTAATGTAATGTATGTATGTATGTATGTATGTATGTAATGTATGTATGTATGTATGTATGTATGTATGTAATGTAATGTAGTAATGTATGTATGTATGTATGTATGTATCTATCTATCTATCTATCTATCTATGTATCTATGTATGTATCTATGTATGTATCTATGTATGTATCTATGTATGTATCTATGTATGTATCTATGTATCTGTGTATCTGTGTATCTGTGTATCTATGTATCTATGTATCTATGTATCTATGTATGCACGTTGGTATGGGTGTGTTAATATGGATTTTTCGTTGGCTTGAGATGGATCCGAAATGGGATGGATCCTTGGGCGAATCGAGGGCTGGCCTGGAACGTCTACCTGGCCTGGTAAACTCACAGTTTGCGACACTGAAAATGGTGATTATGATGTGAAGTTACCCATCAAAAATGGTGATTTTCCATAGTTATGTTAGTTTACCAGAGGGTAGTGATTATGATGTATAGAAGCCTCTGATAGCCATGATAATGCCATGAATTTGCGAAGATCTCACCCAGGTTTTGCCGAGCCACGCAAAGTCCTCAGCGTCTGCTGTCTGCTACATCTTCAGCTGAAACACATAGCATATACTACAACATTGACACAATAAATCAGCATTTATATGGAATTACAGAAATCTTGGAGAAGTGTATAGCTTATTTACAGCCTATTTACACCCTGATAGGAAACATCTCTCAATATGAATCGGTGGTACCTGGGATTTCCGAAGCATCCACTGGAGACAGTTTACCCTACGATGGACGGCGACGGCGTCCAGCATGGTTCTTTGCTCTATGGTATTTTCCTGCCCAAAGTATGTTTTTTATTTTTTTCACCTTCAAAGAAATGCATCATAGGCGGATTATGATGGATTATGTACATGTATAGTTACCATGGCAGAGCAGGATGGGTGGACGTCTAGCAGAAGGTGCAACAATGGAGGTTGTTTTTTCTCCTCATGCGGAGTTTGGGCATGGAATGGTATGGATCTTTAGATGCCAACCCCAAGTTGGAACTGCAGCATACCAGGCTGATCTGCGAGCATGGCTCCCCATAGTACCTCAGGTGACAACATCACCATCACGGCCCCTCAGCAAGGAAGAACTGCTATGATGGGAATATGACCCGTGTCGTGACTGGAAAATCACTCAGAAATGGAGATCTTTGTTGCTGGGGAAATCATCTAAATCGGTGATTTTCCAGCAAGGTGTGTTTCATTTGCGGAGGGTCAACCAAAATATGTCATGCGGGTATGATGAAAAGAACGGAGAAATACTCCAGAAATAGTTGGACAAGAATCTGCTGATGGTTTAGCCACCTAAAACGTATGCCATCTTTTCTGTCATTGGGGATTATGATCCCAATCCGCCAGCCGGAGTAGATCGGAGAACTGAGTGTTGATATTCTTCTGCTATCTCATCCGTCAATACGTTGCATCTGCATCGGTGAACCAAGTCTGAAAGCTTTGGCTCAATTTCTTCCGGGGTCAGGATGTTTTGCCAAACAAACATGGCAAATCTACCCCCCAAACATGGCGAAAAAGTCTCACTCTGTTTGGGTGAAAAGACCATGGAAATCCGGCATTTTAGCGCCAATAAGTTGTCCGAAGCTGGCTTCGGAGAAGAACAGTGAGCACCCTTTGGGAGCCCAGAAAAACCCAAAAAAAAAACAGAAACACCTTCAATTCCAGTGTGTTTTTATCTATCTTTGCACCACAACATTCCCATCCTGTGAAACAATCGCAGCCGAGCAGCTGGGAGTTGTTGTTGTTCAGCAAATCCACACGCACCGTGCCACCTTCGAGTTTCTTCAGATCCTGACTGAGCGATTCTCGGTCGACTGCATTTCCATTTCTGAGTTCAATGCATATCCATTTGTTTGAGCGCATGATCTTGGAGCTTGCGTTAGAATTGTCCAGCAAACTGCGCGGCCAAAACCAAAAACCTGCACATCAATGAAAAAAATCTTTTGCTGCCCCTGCAACGGCCCTCCTAGGAAAAGATCAGTCATGGTCCCACGGAAAGTTCATTCATCAATGCCATCCTCATGGTTTGGTGATTAAAAAAAAGTGAATTCAGACTCCTTTTTTTTGGCCTCAAAAAATGATGCTTGGTTTTCTGTATGCAGATTCCCAGCTGGATTCGTGAGAAAAATGAGTCAAGACCTTCGATGTGGAAATACTCCACCATGTGCAAATCATAAACTCCGAACCGGAAAATCATAGGAGTTTTCCGCAGAAAAAGGATATAAACTATCCACATCTAAGATATATGAAAACCTCTACAACTGGGATGTAATTGGCAGTTACTTTTTACACATTACAAAGCTAGTTTATCCTAGGGTATCCTACCATTCAAAAGAACTTTGTGGCCAAGCCATAGAAGAACCAACAGCAGGTGATTGTCCAAAGTTTTGCAGATATTGCAGCTATCATTTTACGGTAGCCTCAGGCAATGACACGTGGCTGGGATATTGAATTTTGTTTTTGGAAAAAAATGGAATATGCTGACTGGTTGGTCCAAAAAAATGGAATAAATGGTTGGTTCAAAATGGTTGGTCCATACGCTGATTTATCGTTCGCAACAATTTTCAGACCATGGGATTTCGGGGGTGCTCTATTCTCAGACAAACGGATACGGGTTGATCATCATTTTTCAAACACAGCCAAATATATTGTTGGCATCAAATCCCAAATATCCGGATTTCATATCCATGAAATTCGATGAAATCCCATCAATTCCTATTCAAAATTCTATAAAGTTCGCCTATTTTCGCTTCATCTTTGAATCCGAAAGATTCATGATTTCCCGCCACCGCCAGCCTCCATGCCGCGGAGGCTAGAGCTAGGGTCTTGGTCTCCTGCCTGCGGAGATGCGTCAAAGCTCTCACCCCCCAACAAAATGGAGTGGATGACGCTATCTGGGCCTGTGTTTTTCTGTTTTGTTGAGCATTTTTGAACTGAGTTTATGTGTATATATATATATATATAGTTCAATCTTAACGATGTGGATACGTTTAAAACTCGTTTCATCTGAGGGGTGTCTCCCAACTTGGAAACCCCCCAAATCCTTGGCTTTTGAAAAGAAGTTCTAAGACAAATAATACATGAAGTATGATGCGTGCATGCATATTACTGTACATATATATATATATATACATACATCTACATATACATATACATATACATATACAAATATATATATATATATGTGTGTATATATATATATGGATATGTATGTATATATATATATATATACGTATACACACATATACATATACACAGATAATTATATAGATTATACACGATACATATATATATATTATACATACACACCGCATCGTCAGGTCCCTACTCTTCTTGCTTTCGTCGTTCATCTCGTTCCCATTGCTACGTTTCGCTACGCGCGCGGCACCTGGTGCACCGCGGAATCATCACCTGGCATCAATGGGAGTAGCTAGGGTAGGTACCTCCAATTTAGGTTCCTGAAATGGCTACTGAATGGCTGTAAAGATGCGAAATATTCAAAAAAAAACATTAGGATATCACATGATTGCAAAAAAAGAAACCAACTGATATCTATCATCAACATATGGATATCACAGCCGAAACAAGCTTTCTCGATACCTGCAGTTCGTACATGTTTTGGAACTGCGATAGTTCATGGATTATCAGATCAGTGAGCCATTTACCCTCTGGTAAATTAACATAGCTATGGAAAATCACCATTTTTCATGGGAAAATCCACTATCAATGGCCATGTTCAATGTCGCAAACTGTTAGTTTACCAGGCCGGGTACTGGTTCTTGGAATCAAAAACAACGGCACCAGGACGGCCCAGGGATGACGCAAGGGGACGCCCGGGGTTTTTCGGCAGGGATCATACGGGGGATAAATCACTTAACTTTTTGAGTGGGTAACTGGCTTAGTTGATCATAGTTACCTAATAGTTGGGATTAGTTGTTAGCTAACTGGCTTGGAATACATCACTTATATAATTATAACTGCAACGACCAAGATGTTTGGCAGTCAAGCTACCAAAACCAGGGGATTTAGATATTACCAAAAAAAAGAATCACCATCCCACAAATACCAATGACTTACCATGTGGGGATATTCAAAACCATACCCGAAAAATGAGTTGAGCTTTTCGGGTTTACTGCATTCGTTGGTGTAGATGTCCTATCCTTCCTAACTCGGGGTGTCCTATGCTGTGGCTTCCACTCACCAAGTTTTTCTTGTTGGAGGGACTGTACACTGTTCTGGAGGCCAGACCCCCCAAAAAAAAGAGAGGCCAGCGTCCCCAACGCCCAAAATAGAATACAAAATGTGTTTTACGATCTGATTTTTAGCTTCTTTTCTCTCTTCTACTTTCCTGTCTATATCTGCCTCTGTGTGTGTCTCCCCTCATGAAAAGTGTTCAACTCTATGTATTTCAAAGGTGTCCCTTGCCTTAGCACGATGTGATATGGAAATCGTGAATTGTCTTACCCCATAATCTTTTCTTTAATCTATATTAATATGTGACAGTCTGTTCTTTCACTGTATTTTTTGTGCCCAAACAGTTTGCTAGATGTGCTGATCTGAGGCGAAACATGCGCAATGTCCAATAGTACTGCAAGTACCGTAAGTGAATATCTCGTGTAGTTTGCCTCGGCAAAACTGTTGTTCTTTCTAGTTCGTATTTTCAACACAAACTCTAGACACTGACCTGTCCTTTGCTACAGAGTCTTTGCTTCAATGTTGTAGGGCAAATGTTGACAAATGCCAGCGGTGCTCTGAGGCTATGTCAGCCACCCACCTCCCCCATATCCTCAAAATAGTTGGTTTGTTGTTGTTGTTGTTGTTGTTGTTGTTGCTTTTTTTGTTTTTTTGGTCCCCCCTCACTTCACCCAAATAAAGAATAGAAATAGTGCACTGAAGCCAGGGGACCAACAGTATCAAGCAAAGGTCAGTGGAGGAGGGCTGCTATGGGCCAAAGTTTTACCTGGTATAGGAAAGGGTGTCGATGAAGAGATGAAAACAAAGTATCACAAAAAAGGAAACGCTGAAAAACTGGGCGCTCATCACAGCGCTGCTTTCAGGAAAAAAAAACTTGCAACCCTGTTGACCCCTCCTAACATGAAAACAAAGCTTGCCATGGCATTTGAAGAAGCGCCGTTCCAACTCAGTTTTGATACCTTCAACGCCACCCATAGGCAAGGGGGCCCTATCAGACCTCCATGAGTGTGTTCAAACAGGGGAGACCCGAATTTATGGCAAGTTTTTCATGGCAAGATGGTGAATAACCATCAGCTTTTGGCGGGACCACAAGAATATTCACCACCAAATGGTGATGAGTCATCCAACCAATCTGGCGAGCCGTCAGGAGCCTTCTTGTACTTGATCTTCATGGCTATCCAAGAAATGTGTGTGCAAGTGCCTGGGTCAGGACCGCTGAAATTTGAAGTTGGTTAAACCCCCATTGTTGTTCCTGACATCACCACCTGGCAGGTCGGATGCTATTGTTGTTTGTTGGTGTTTGAAGTGTTTTTCCTCATTTAGACAGTTTCGAATCCCTACTTCTTGCCATTGTGGGTAGGTCTTCATCCCCGCATTTGTTGGACAATTCTTGTCTCTTCAGGTCGGTGCATGGGAATTCAGGCTAATTCCCAGCTGGTCATCAATGTTCAGCCCATCAACCGTCACTCCAGGCTGGTGAGATCCGAACTTTGATCCATAAATCCAGTGATATGGGCGATATCCCTGTTCATACTCAGTAAAATTCCAGTTTTCACAAGGTCAACCCCCAGTAAAATCCGGAAAAAAAAAAAACATGTAAGCATCGAAGAACTCCGCAACTGGCTGAAAAATCCATATCGCCGGAAAAACCTGCCGATACACTAAGGTTCATTCCGATACTCGACACGGGGCAACAAAATATGTCCCCACATATCTCAAGTCTTCAATGTTTGGTCGGTTTCTTCCATTTATTTGTTCTATGTAACCGTTAAATCCTCCACCACATGGTGGAAACGGTTGGTTCAATCCCAATTATTCTTGGCTGGTGTTGGCAAAAAAGGGTTGAAAGTCTATAATTTTCCTTGCTGTTGTTCATTGCAAATGTTGGATAATGCGACAAATGGTTTCTGTTACAAAAATCATCCGGATCAATGGCAATAAAACAGATGAAAACAATAAGACTCATGATAATACAAAAAAAGTCTGATTACAATCATGGTACAAGTCCTAACTGTAGCAATATTGGAAACAACACACATCAATAATCTGGTTGCTGGTATACCTACCCCTCTGAAAAATATGAGTATGTCAGTTAGGATGATGACATTCCCAATATGATGGGAAAAATGAAAATCATGTTCCAAACCACCAACCAGATCACCATCATATTCCCATTGTTGTTGGTTTATAACCTATTAACCACTAGTCACTATTAACCATTATATAGCCATTATATATCCCACTATTAACCAGTAATCGTAACGTTGATATCGCTCAGCGGCGTCGGCAGATGCGCCAGGAGTTCCTGTGCCAAACCCATCGCTGGAGCGGCACGTGACGCGTTTCCGTCGGAGCGGCTCGGCGGCGTGTGGCAGGTGACGCGTTCGCTGGCGGAACGGAGACGTGGAACAGCTCACGTGCATTTCTATGATATATGTGTGTCTTGTATATATATATATATACATATGTGACGTGTATATATATATATACATATGTATATATATATATAACTAGGTATGCATTGATTTAATATGAAATAATATATGTATTCGATTTTGATATGTGTCTTTCCGTACCCGAACATCACTACATTTATATAGAAAGAAACATTGATATACTAATTGTTCATAATTGTGTGTTCTTATGAATGCATATATCTATGATACACGAACGTAAATCATGCTTACATTTATACCATGTACACGTGGGTGCACTAACCTTCATTATTGACCAGGAAGCAGACATGGGAAATCCTCGATGTATTATACATGATTTTGCTACAACAGTTGAGATCTTCCATAATGGGCATAATGGGGCTAGAGAATCAATGGACATTCCCGATGTCTGTTGGCATGGCTAACCTTAGCCCTAACCGTAACCTTAGGTACCCTGCAAAAAAAGAAAGTCTTCAGTGGAACATGAGTTGCATATGTGTCCATCAAATGGCCAAGAGCTAAGTCCATTTATTATTCCAAAAGCCTGACCTAGTTGACAGGACAATATTTGTCATATCCCACGTTTCTCATCATACATTCTATATCTTCTGTAGTATTTTACACATATATGCTACACCTCCTCGTTTTGTGTCCTAGCTGAAGGGACTGGGTTTCAACTTCGATGCACCAAGATGGAGACTCCAAGAGATTCCAAGAGGGAAAACATGGGAAAACGATGACCCGGTGAATGGAATGGATAAATCGGGGATAAATCAGGGATAAATCGGGTTCCCGAGAAACCCGCGCCCCTTGAGTTGTTCTGCTTCAACCTCTTGTTTTCGGGGCATCCTTGAGCCACGCAGCAAAGCGGAAGCCGCCGGAAATTGCCATCTTTAAGGACAATTATGGTCTCAACGAGTCTCAACCATCAAGAGATTTGTGTTTTCCATGTTTCCCCAAAATTTTCGAAGAAAACGTGGCATCTTATCATGTCTTACCGAAAATGACGCACTTGTGTTTTCACAACAAGCCCAGCAAGCCGTGCGCCCAGGTCAAAAAAAAACCTGCGTCTGCGCCCAGGTCATATCCAGCCCCAGCAGGGTATCCCTGCAGTGCAGTTGGGAGAATCCCGAGATGTCGGAACCTCGCAGGACCGACAGACCGGGATCATCCCACCGGCCGGCGCGGATGGCATGGAATTATTGCAGCTGCCCAAACCTAACCATATATATAATTATATATATATATTATATCCATATATTGGATGGGGCCAAAGTTTCGAAAGTTCCAAACTCTTTGTCAACCTTTTTTCACGTGGTCTTTTTTGGATTTCTGAGACTTCCCTCCTTTTTGTCCCTAGGGGCCCTGTGAGGCCTTTTTTCCACATCCCTCCATGGCCTCGGTAGCTTGGCGCCAGCTGCCCACCAGTGTGCCGTTGAGGTTTCGACTCCTCAGCTGCACCTGCCAAGCCTCGACAGGTTCAGCATTGGCGTCGTTCATGGAGAAAGTTTGAGGGATTTCTTCGTGCTGGGATTAAACATGGAATAAACATGTGTGTGAATCACAACACAGAACTAAGAAAGTATCTAGAAGTGCTGTTTTTTTCGGGTCTCCGAAGTGTGTCTTTGCAACCTTCGCAGGACTTCGGAGTCTTTTTTGGCCCAAGCTAGGGGTCTCAAACCTTGCGGTTCTGCACTTTGTAGCATGAAGGCATCAAGTAATGTATTTGTATGTATATAAATATATATACATATACACAAGGTAGTTTCAAGTTGGAGTAGAAGTATAAGAGAAGTTCTTATGACGTAGCATCAAGTAGGTGTGCAAGTGGCAGGACGTTGCCCGAACCCGCTGACCCAGGTGAGCAGTGGAGGTCCTTGTGGATGGTGGAAAACTGGTGATCTGTAAGCCATCTGTTTCGCATTGTTTCGCTACATTGCTGCCTAAACATAAAGTATGAAAATCCTGTTGAGCTAACGTAACCCTTTCGGGACCTGCCAGCACACTAAATTTAGATATACAACATACCATTAATCATATCCATCTACATATCAAATGGGGCGGTATATCATTCTTTTCACCATGGGAAAACCCCTAACCTCAACCCTCTTTTTCGCCTGAAAGTTGCAGTCATTGCTGGCCCCTGGAGACCACTGAATGGTGAAGCTGTTCTCTCCAGGCTCCAAAATGACGATGCTCCTGACACGTGCGACGTGCGGAAAATCCAATTTTAAATGATTCAGACTGTTTAGACATCCCAAAAAGTCTGATTTAATTGTTTAGTTAATGGCGATGCAATGAGATGTATCGCCGACTATATCCAATTTGGGTCTGAAAATGGAATAAATGGAGGATCTAGCACCAACATATGGCCATTTTGATATGAAGCCAGAGGACTTGTGGGTGCCCTGCTTACAAACCCCAAAGAAATGTTGGCCTATCCCAACCGGGATGAGCCCCTCTTAATGTGACCAAAAATAGCCGCCCAATCGGGTCCCAATTGGGTCTGCCCATGTTTGGCCCGTCTCTGTTTGTTTTCATTCGCCATCCGCTTGCTGGATACGGCAAAGCTTCGAGTTTATTCGCGAGGAAAAAGGGGGACTCAAGTGAAGCAATAACCCTCATGCTGATGGGCATCAGAATTGGGAGTTGGTCATGGTTCAAAATCGGAAAATGACATTCACCATGAAGTATGCACCTTTTTTGTCACACAAAAAACTTGAGAGGGGGGGGACGAAAGGTAGGGGGGAAAGACAGGAGGGAGAGGCAAGAGAAGGTGCGACTGTTTGTAACGCAAGCACGCCGACGACGACGACGACGACTACTACTACTACTACTACTACTACTATGACGACTACTAGTACTACTACTACTACTACTACTACTATGAGGACTACTACTACTACTACTACCACTACTACTACTACTACTACTACTCCTGCTACTACTACTACTACTACTACTACTATGAGGACTACTACTACTACTTTGGGGACTACTACGACTACTACTATGAGGACTACTACTACGACGACGACTACTACTACTACGACGACGACTACTTCTACTACTACGACTACTACTACTACTACTATGACGACGACTACTACTACTACTACTACCACTACTACTACTACTACTACTACTACTACTACTACTACTACTACTACTACTACGGCTACTACTACTACTGCTACTACTACTACTACTATACTATACTACTTCTACTACTACGACTGCTACTACTACTACTACTACTACGACTACTACTACTACTATGACGACTACTAGTACTACTACTACTACTACTACTACTACTACTACTACTACTACTACTACGCCCAGGCCCGTTACACTTTACATTCAATTGGGAAGATCAACAAGGGTATTAGGGAATATTAAACTCCCACCCCTGTTAAACTTTACATTGAATTGGGAAGATCAACAAGGGTATTAGGGAATATTAAACTCCCACCCCCGTTAAACTTTGCATTCAATTGGGAAGATCAACAAGGGTATTAGGGAATATTAAACTCCCACCCCGGTTAAACTTTACATTCAATTGCGAAGATCAACAAGCGGATTCATGACTTCGTGGAAATTGCGTTGAAGAGTTTGCCGATTTCTAACGTTAGATGTATAAGGTAGGCATGTTGGACAAGAATCGGTTGGAAAGAAACTTTTGGAGTTTGAAAAGCTCACCCAAGCAGCTGGAATGTTTGTGTGCTTGTTGTTGGTGAATCGTTATTCTTGTAGGTATACCGTGTTGTCAGCACGCGGACTCGTTGGACGGGCCTCCAGGGAGTCGACTGAGCTAGTTGTTGACGCTGTGGAGGCGCTTCCGCCACGACTACATAAAGTATCGTTTTTTGTTCTGTACAATGACGTTCCGAACTCCGAATAAGTGGACCCGGCGGAGGGGCCTCCAAAGGGTCAACCAAGTGAGGGGTTGACTCTGTGGAGGCTCTCCCACCGGGTCCACAGAAACTATTGTTTTTGGTTAGTTGTTGCCTTTGTGATTTCTAGCAAGTTTACATAAAGTCCAACCGGGTCCACAGAAACTAATGTTTTTGGTTAGTTGTTGACCTTGTGATTTCTACCAAGTATACATAAAATATCGTTTTTTGTTCTGTACAATTACGTTCCGAACTCCGAATAGGTGGGCCCGGTGGAGGGGCCTCCAGAGGGTCAACCAAGTGAGGGGTTGACTCTGTGGAGGCTCTCCCACCGGGTCCACAGAAACTATTGTTTTTGGTTAGTTGTTGACTTCTTGTGATTTCTAGCAAGTTTACATAAAGTCCAACCGGGTCCACAGAAACTAATGTTTTTGGTTAGTTGTTGACCTTGTGATTTCTACTAAGTATACATAAAGTATCGTGTTTTGTTCTGTACAAGTACGTTCCGAACTCCGAATACGTGGACCCGGTGGAGGGGCCTCCAGAGGGTCAACCAAGTTAGGGGTTGACTCTGTGGAGGTTCTCCCACTAACAAGGGTATTAGGGAATATTAAACTCCCACCCCGGTTAAACTTTACATTGAATTGGGAAGATCAACGAGCGTATTAGGGAATATTAAACTCCCACCCCCGTTAAACTTTACATTCAATTGGGAAGATCAACAAATGTATTAGGGTATATTAAACTCCCACCCCCGTTAAACTTCACATTCAATTGCGAAGATCAACAAGGGTATTAGGGAATATTAAACTCCCATCCCCGTTAAACTTTGCATTCAATTGGGAAGATCAACAAGGGTATTAGGGAATATTAAACTCCCACCCCTGTTAAACTTTACATTGAATTGGGAAGATCAACAAGGGTATTAGGGAATATTAAACTCCCATCCCCGTGAAACTTTGCATTCAATTGCGAAGATCAACAAGGGTATTAGGGAATAGTAAACTCCCACCCCCGTTAAACTTTACAGTCAATTGGGATGTTGATGATGTTGATG